GTTATTTAGTGTTTGTAATAACTAAATTTAAATGACGTTTTAGAGTTATATAATCTTTAGGGTAAGTTATAAATTTCATTCCATTACGTTATTTTGATTTTGTTGCATATCTTTATAAGCAAATCTTCAAAGTATAGAGAAGTGCTCTATGTGGACTTAGAAACCGATTTAAGCTAAATTAGAAGTTTTAAAGAAATGCCATTATCAGAGTATGTTAAGTTTTAGGACAACTCTAAAATTCTGAGTTCGATCTCTGCAGTGAGTACAGCTCATTGTGCAGCTTTGTGCTTATACATATCTCAACAAAAAAAGAAACAGTCTGTGTTAAGTCAGAAAAAGGCTATTTGTAAAAGCATATTTGCTTTATGATTTTCAGAAACGACACGATAATTAGAAATAACGCAGAACTTGGTCATAAGTATAGTGTTGTTCCCCGGTGGGTCAGCGGTAAGTTTTGGACTTATGATGCTAACATCGGTCAACTTGTAGATACGCCATTTTGTAGCTTTGCACAAAAGAAATAACGATATTATAGTTTATGGTTATATTTCATTTTTAGGAATTTTGCAAAAAAATCGGAGACGTGAAGTCTTTATCTGATCATCTTAAACTTCCTAAGCAGAGGATCAATGATTACCAGCTATTACTGAAGGTACGTTGTGAAGGTTAAAACATAAATATTTCAAATCTAAACGTGGTTTAATAAAAGTACCCTCAGAAAGTTACATAGAGTTGTGGTCTTAACTTCGCTTGTTGGAAGTTACTGACCAAGAAAACTCTTCCTTTAATTGAAGATATATATATTGGTTATTTTTTTAAACTTATGCAAGTAAATAACAAAATAAGATACATTTAGTATAAATCCTTTTTTAGCTAAATAACATATTTGTTTTAAAATGAATTTTCAATATGAGAAAGCTAGTAATGAAAACGTGAGCTCTAAAATAAATAAGCAAATTTTTTTTCCCGTTCTTATAATCATGTTATATACTTATATTTAACATGATTTAAGTTATTTCCAACTGCCAGTATTGCGAAATATATTAACAGTAAAAGTTAGACTGTCTTTTGTTCACCACCAGAACTGGCGAGATGTGCTGGACGATAACAGGCAAAACATTCCCTGAAACGCTGTTTATATATATATATATAGTATAACAGTTTAAAACTTAGTTTAAATGTTGAAAGCTGGTGAGGCTCTTACCTATAGGCCTAAAATATGTGATAAAAAATCACGTAAACTGCAGATGACTAGTGAGTTCTGGTATTGCACGAAAGGCTTCTTGAGCAATGAATTTTGGGAGAGAAAAGATAGATGTGAAATGCTGTTTTTATACACCTCTGATTTTTGAAACTGAAATGGACGAATTAAGAGGAATGTGGAAGAAAACACATCTTCAGTTTACTTTATTTTTTTTCACAAATATTAAGCCTAATGGTTTCTATATCCCCGCCAGTTTTCAGCGTTTAATTAAACTGTATATTATAAAATGTTTGTTGCGATATAACGTTGTACTTACCCATTCTGTAACTTCTCGAATGAAGTTCGTGAAAATGAAAAGCAACAAGAAATTAAACAATATTGTATGAATAAACATATAAGATTTACTTTCCAATAATTTTTTTGTATCCATTTTGATTCATTATTCTTTACGCTCTTAAAATTTACTATAAAAATAACTGAAAAAGTTTTGAATTTGCTTATCCTTATTAACAAACACAAACTAGTGACAGATTCTGGAAATTCAATTAGCTGAAGTCGGTGAAAAGAAATCGCTCGGCGTAATATTTTTCGTCACTAATAAACTGATAGGTCTGTTATGTAATATACCATTTGCTACGGCAGTGTTTTTCGTTGATTTAATTTTATCTCGTTATATTTCAGTTAAAATAAGGTTATTTTAAACACATTTGTTGAAATAGAGTACAAAAAACTGGTTTTGTGTCAATCATTTGTTTACCAAACGTTTCATTTTTACTAGTTTTGTTTAGATAGATACAATTCCTTCGTTGTATTAGGTTCTATAAATACCAAGCTAACTTTCAAAAATCTGAAATGGCAGACACTGTCAGCATCTACTATAAAGTTGTTGTTTTTATCTAAGATGATTCGATTCGTATAGATGTGCTTTATATATTATTAACGACAATATTATAAAAATGATGAACAAAAACTTTTAATACACATTTCGTGTATAATTCAAAATTTTATTTTATTTATAGGAATTAATAAAATTTACTAGTCGTCTCAACGAAGACACAAATGACCTAGAGAGGGCGCTAGACTACATGATATCTATTCCACAACGAGCGAATGATCTCAAGTATTTGAATGCCATCCAAGGATACGGAGGCAGCGTCAATAAACTTGGTCGATTGATCCGACACGTAAGTTTGTTGCAAACTTTTAATATACAGAGGGTTTAGCACGTTATGTTAGAACGATTATGAACATGTAAGTCAACAAGTCATCTTAAAATACAGCCGATATAAAGTCACGGTGGGACGAAATGTGTCAGAACTATGTTTAACATTTTCTTCTGACGTTACTAAGGTGCCGAAAATTGATCGCTTTTGGGAAGGGACGCAAAATGTTCATACATTCAGACCACAACAATTTATTGAGAATTTAGAATTTCCAAAATGGGGATAATTCTTGTCCTCAATGACATTGGAAGACAAAATAATTTTGATCAACTTGAGGTACCAGGAACATTCAGAAGGAGATTTGCAACAAGTCGTACCCCAGCCATGGTATTCAATATGTGTCGTCTTGTAACTGGTGAGAATTCACAAACACAAGAGTTAGTGGCAAAAACCATAATCAAGAAGGATCTCCGCCTGAAAGGAAGCCAACAAGATATTGGTTCACCAATATACGGCTTCCAGTTATATCTCCCGTTCAACCGTCGTATATCTCAAGCAGCTGGAGAATGAAACGGGTATTCATGCTATACCATACGAAGACATACTGGTCAAATCGCTAGATGCAGTGAATGTGGATTTCTATGAGACAAGACTATTGAAACTGGTGCTAGTAAGCTGTTATTTTCGTATATTAGATGGATTATGGAAAGCGTGTAGGAAACGATGATGTTCCTTGGATATGACAGCGTTACGACAGAGCCTTTTGTAATGGAAACTACGCTGTAGGGCTACTTCACGGTCGTCAGATAGAGCATGACCTGATGAAGCATCATGGGCTGTAATGACGTAGTGAAACTCCAAAATTGTTTTATTATAACGTACTCAACATGTGCATGTTTTAAAAAAATAATTCTAGAGCACTAACATTTTTGAAGACAAATATAATGTTCAATTGCTTTTAATGTATTCGAAACTTTCAACGGAATGTTTCATTACACAATAAAAATAAAAATTATTTACGCAAAACAATGTACATTGCATAGACATTTGCGAAACTTCAAAGAACATCTCGGCATTTAAAAAAATAATTTAAACGTTAACGAATTACGACAAGAATATATATATAAGTAATAGCTTCAACTGCTTTAGAACATAACACAATTATTAACACAATTAAAACATAACCTCCACAATCCACCAAAATATTATAAAGACCGACAACACCATACACGCACTAACCTGAAGACGAATAGCGATAGAAACGTCGTCCTCTACACTTGCGTTTCTACAACAGGCAATTTCCGTCCATCAAACAAAATTTCATCATGAATACTCTGCCCAAACAATCTACCAAAGAGATGTGAAAACATTTTTAACTATTCTCACACGAAACGTTTTTAACGGAGAAATAACAACACTTTTATTTTGATGCTATAACTATTTGAAAACTGTGATCTTTTAACTAGCTAAACCCCACTTGCATTAATCAAAATATTATTGAGAAATCTTGTACACCAGTTATATAATTAGCAACTTTGAATTAAAACAATATTTATGAAATGGACAGATAAGTAGAATAGGTTTTGTTGAGATTTCAACTTTTTATATATTTTTAGCTAAAAGTTTGACATAAGGTCCGAGTAACTCCTATTCAGTGACAACAATGTTTATTTTTTCTGAGTTTCCATGTCAAAAAGGTTGTCGTTCTTATCCTTTTCTAGGATTGGTTGGAAGTGGTGGAACCTTCAGGTATAAAGAAAGAACAGTATATATTCTTATTTAGAGGTCGAATGTTCGTGACAGACGTCAAGCCTATTAAACAAGACAAGGATTCGTACATGCTACAGAGAATCATTAAGGTAGCCATATTTTTTGTACAATTTATTGAAACTAAGAATTTCAAAGCTTTATTTTAAAGAAAAATAATGAAACAACTTTATTTGCTATTTATTATCTATAATACAGATTTGTATATACTTTTATAAATACTTTTAATCCACTTCAGCATTTATTTTTGAAAGTGAAGTGAAAACTGTTTTTTTTTTTTAGTCTTTAAGTCAAACCTGTTTCTAGTCTTATGTCCAGATTTGTCAGCACACAGGAACTGAAAATTTGTTTGTTTGTATGTTTGCCCCCCAATGGCACAGCGGTATGTCTGCGGGCTTAGAACGCTAGAAACCGGGTTTCGATAACCGTGGTGGGCAGAGCACAGACAGCCTATTGTGTAGGTTTGTGCTCAACTTCAAACAAATAAAATTTGTATGTGTTTGCTGCTACCACACAAAGGTATAGTTAAAAACGTTCAGCAAGTATGAATGAATGTATATAAAATAAACAGTATAAACTGAGGTAGTTTTTTTATTTAATACATAATTTGGAATATCATTACTGCTTTGTGAGAAACATATTTATAATATAACATGTCTGCCTGTTTCAAAATATATATACTTTTAACAATTTATTATCAGCTGTCTGATGTTGAAATAGACAAGGTTGAAGGTGACGACAGGGCTCTTCTTTGTAAACACACCAATCTTGAGGAGGCAGGTTTTCCACTCACTCTGAGGGCTAAAACAGTAGAAGAAAGAGACACCTGGTGTCAAGATTTGAAGGTTTCATCCACACCGCTTAGTAAGTCTCTTGTTACTAGTTCTGATGACGTGATCACTTGCTGTATATGAGTTCGTTTTATGATTACTTCTTTGTGCCTTTGGTAGGGCTACAGTTCCTTATAGTATATATTAATTACATTCACATATAATCACCTGTCGTATTATAATTCTACTTATTGGTCAAATGCTATATATCTGTATTTGAAAAAAACGTATTTGCGAAAAAACAACAAAATCTTCTGTCTTCAATATACATTGTATTCCCCTGTTCATTACAACAAAATCTTCTGTCTTCAATACACATTGTATTCCCCTGTTCATTACAACAAAATCTTCTGTTTTCAATACACATTGTATTCCCCTGTTCATTACAACAAAATCTTCTGTTTTCAATACACATTGTATTCCCCTGTTCATCACAACAAAATCTTCTGTTTTCAATACACATTGTATTTCCCCTCGTTCATTATAACAAAATCTTCTGTTTTCAATACACATTGTATTCCCCTGTTCATTACAACAAAATCCGCTGTTTTTAATACACGTTCTATTTCCCTGTTCATTACGAAAAAAGCTATAAGTATACCGGTATTGTTTTCACTAATTCCTAATTGTTTAATTTTGTAAACGAATATAAATAGGTTTGTTTATTTTGTTCAGCCTCCTCAATTAAATAATAACAGTTCTATCTTAAACATTAAGCCTTCATCTATTGTTACAGGATTAGGTAGTAGAGAAAGTGGAGTGCCGGAAAAAGCACCATTCTTATACTAGATTTTGTATCTTCTGGCAACAGTCTCTATTCAGTTAACATAAATAAGATGTAGATCACTTCAAAGAGTCGCTGCTTCGTGTACAAATCGATAGAATTTACATTTACAATTTATGACAGTTCTATAACGTTTCGGTCACCCTGTGCCTTTGTCTTAGCATAAATGTTGAATAAAGGCATGAAATCTAACTCAGTGCAGTTGCCAAAAGAAAGGGAGATGAAGCTATTAAACCCTTTTTCTCATGAGATATGAACAGGAAAAGATGTTAACGCATTTTGTAGATATATATATTGAAGAAATGGTTTGTATTTATATTATAATTTTAATAGGTTTCTAGGATTGGAAAAAAAAAGATTTAACCATTATTTATTTTTGTAAACATTTTAATACACGTCGCTTTTCTACTGTTTTATTAAAGCTATTGAAGAACTGAAGGAAGAAGAAGAGGTTATTCTGACGTCCGAAGAACCTAAACAACAAGAGCCTGGAGAACCAGAAGCAAAGAAACCGGGTGAGTCACTAGAAAGTAAGAGTTTTTGTTTTTTTTATTCTGTCTAGCAAGTTCTCTTACTTTGATATATTATTCATCAGTCTCTGCTCTCTGTCCTCTAAGCCTCCTTCAGTGCAGTACGAAACATAATTGTGACAAACTAGAATTTTCATTACCAAGCTATTCATATATATATATATATATACATATATGTCTTTCTCTTTACCTGACTGTTTTGGGTTTTTTTTTGGGGGGGGGGGTTCGAATGAGAAGCTACTCGATAATATGGCTTAGTTTCGTTTAATTTTCGTTCATTGGACACCTAACAACATGAACAACAAACTTATTGACAACCAAGATTAGTTATTGTGAAAATTAAACTTTTTCTAGTTGTTTGAGTATGAGTTTATAGGTGTAAGTAATAATTATTTTATTTTCAAAAAATAACCGCTACTCTAGTTCAGAGAGTTACTTTACACAGGTTTTATTACTCGAGAGTCTTTTTTTATTGCACTGCTCGTCTTCACTTAGTTTATTCACTGATAAACTATCAACGTTGAATGTTAACCTGATGACGTATTCTCGACGTTTCTGTAGAGGTGTTACTCGTTGTTTTCTTTCCTAATACGACTGAGATTGTACCAAAAATAATTGAAATTATTGACCTGTCTCTCCATAGTTATAAAAATGGTCTAAAATAAGCACAATTGAAACCCTATAACAGTGCTTTCCAAAGTGTGTGCTGTTGAAGGGTCTCAGGTGTGCCGCGGAATATTAAGTAAATTGTATTTAGTAATGTAAATTTATTATTAATTTAATACATTTTAAAAATATCAAACTCGATTTTTCTTCTCCTTGGTACACAGTACAACAGTAATTTCTATCCTTCTTAGTCAACGGTAGGGGGCGCCACTAGGCCTGCCATATGGACTTATTTACATGTACCGGAAAAAGTTTGGGACATTAAAAGTGTGCCGCGAGCTGAAAAAGTTTGAGAAGCACTTGCCTTATAGAACCGACCTTTAATCATCTGTCAGGAGTGTGTTGAAATAAATGACATTGTTGGTTTCATACTGTTATTTTGTTTGTAAATATTTTAATCTCGGACTGTGCTCACCAAGTTTTATTTACATACGATATGTCGTAGCACAGAACGAAAACTGCTGCTGTGCCCAAAATGTCGTCTTTAAAACTGCCATAGGTAGATGGGGCTCATTACACATTCCAAGTTGAATCATGCATTTCCGTCTATAACTTACTCATGTAAATTTGATACTCAAACGTTGTGGTAACCTAATCTCTGAAATTTGTCGAACAATGTTTTTTACAGAAAATAGGTATTGTTGTTTTGTGTATTTTTAATGCGTTCGGTGTTAATTATTAGCTTTCATTTCTGTATCAAAGTAAGACCGTTTCATCTAGTACAGTGGTTCTTAACCTTTTTTTTGCTCCATGCCCCACCTCGACACCTAAAAACATTTGATGCGCCCTTAAAATGAAAACAAATTTGGTGTTGAAAAGGTATAATAACATAACGTAAAATTTAGAAATTTACTAAAATTTCACACCCAAATGAAAATTTTTCTTATAGTAGCATTTTCAAATTGCCCCCCCCCCCCCTGTGGGGTGTGCGCCCCACGTTCAGAATCACTGATCTAGTATTTCATAAGTTTAAAAAAAAAGCAGAGTAAAGATTAAACAACGGCATTGCAGGAAATTTAGAGTATGTATTCCAGTGATTATTTAATCTGGCATTGTTGGATATGAATCAGAGAGAAAAAGACATTTCTAGTTGCCAGAGAAATTCTTATTTGGTCTCATGTATAAGCATTTTAGTTTTCATCCTAACAAAAAACGACCATCACGTGCATTATTATATACCTAGTACCAGTTTAAGTACTGTGTGTAAATATTATGTTTTGAATGATTTTTGTGAACATATATTTTATTAAGTTTAAGAAAAGTCCCCAGAGAAGTTTTTGGCCCCGTTTATATATTTATCTTTCAAATTTCATTGCAAGTGATCGGAAACTGAACAAAGAAAGATCCCTGCAATAAATATAACTGGAAAATTAGATAGGCTCAAACACTTTTATGAAAGTGTATAAAGGTGTGCATAAATAAAACCAAAGCCAAACTGTCACTCACAGTTGGATACTCATACAGAGGGCGAGTACGTCATATTAAATTACTTTTGAGCCTCACCACGTCGTTATATTCCATGTCGTACGTCCGATCCTGCTATATCTGATGACCGTGCTTATCAACAATAACCCTGCAGTGTAGTTCCCATTAAAAAAAGCTCAATCATAAGGCTGACACGGCTAAAGCACACCACTCCTCCCTGCATGGTTTCTGTAATCCAATTATTCTACGAGGACGACAGTTTTACATAAGCCGTTTCAACAGTCTAATTGCACAGAAATCCATAGGCTCTGCGTCTTGCAACTTGAGCGACATGTCTTCACATGAAATGTCAAGAATACTCGTTTCATTCTTCATCTGCTTCAGGCCCGGCATGGCCAGGTGGTTATGGCGCTCTACTCGCAATCTGAAAGTCGCGGGTTCGAATCCCTGTCTCACAAAACATGCTCGCCCTTTCAGCCGTGGGGGCGTTATAATGTGACGGTCAATCCCACTATTCGTTGGTAAAATAGTAGCCCAAGAGTTGGCAGTGGGTGGTGATGACTAGTTGCCTTCCTCTCTAGTCTTACACTGCTAAATTAGGGACGGCTAGCGCAGATAGCCCTCGTGTAGCTTTGCGCGAAATTCGAAACAAAAACAAAACCATCTGCTTCAGGTAATAGATGGTTGTATGGATATGTCGTGAAAGCAATTTTAGTCGCTTTTCCAGAAGGAGACTCTTCATAATTGTATTGCGTACTGTTTCCTCAGGATGTGGATGGCTTTTGTTCGTGGATTTTGATTTGTTACCAGACGTTGCACTTTGGATTGGGTGCAACTTGTTGTGCGTCTCTTTCTGGATGGTCCTGGATCTCTAAGTTGATCCACATTCCTATGTTTTCCAATGCCACTCAGTCTTGAAAATTCTAAATCCCAAATCTTGTTATGACCTGAGTGTATGAATATTTTGCATATGTTGCATATCTTTCCCCCAAAACAATCATTTTTTCGGTGGCATCTTACTGTCTACCTAACAACAAACAATGTCAAAATGTAGCTCTGATACATTCCGTTCCACCGCGGCTTTATATGGATTGAGGTTGTCACCAATGTTCCCTCTAATTTTTTCAATCCATGTGCGGAATTAATTTTTTAATGTACACCAGTATCAAGGCAATGCGTTACCAATTGGTTATTTACACTTTAGGGCTATCGACTGCCAGAGTCATTAAGGCCATCAACGTGTTGAGACTCCTCACCATTACTGAGGATGTGCGCGGCTGGAATAATGAAGTTCGCAGTTCTTGATTGGTTGTTGTGCGGCCGCGCAGCTAAGAGGGAACAATGATATTGTCACGTGAATTGCTTATTTGGATATCTAAACTCGTTTTAATATCACATACTCAACCCTCTGTAGAGCTCGTTTGGATAACGTTCTTTGTCATCGACTAAGCTTGTCTGATGAGTACTGATATGATCGAAAATGCAGTTGTCAGCTAACCATATTATGGAAATTGTTATCCAGTATGTTTTCTGTTAAATAACACTGTATGGTTTATTTCACCATTTTAAATTAAAACTTAATGATAGGGCGACTAAGTTCAAAACAACACTAATTATATATATATAATTATAAATTCACATATGTATTCTACTGTTCGTGTGCTGTTTTCTTAACTTTAATTGGACATCTATTTAAAGCTGTGGTTGTGAAGTAGATAAGTAAATATTTCAACACATATTGTTTATTCTGTGAACTAAAACTATAATATAACGCCCACTGGTGGCTCAGGGGCAAGTCTGTGGACTTATGACACTAAACATCGGGTTTCGATACCCGCGGTGGGTAGAGCACTGATAGCCCATTTTCTATCTTCGTGTTTAACAACAAACAAAATAATAGTTAAATATATGGCTTTTTATAACAGTTTTGACGATTTTAACCTAATCTTCTATAAAGATTTAGTTTTTATACTTTGGTATATGTACATAAAAATGGTTAATTAAGGTACGCGATTAAAATATTCGGTTTACACGCGTGGTAACGAAACTAATAGATGTGTACGAGAGCCTAATTGAAAAGCAGTTAAAAATTTTGCAGCAAAATTGTTTAATTTCCTAAAGAAGAAGAAGAAGATTACAAAAAAAAAAAGATTAACAATAAAAAGGAAAATGTTTTGAAATCTTCTTTTCCAAGGGTTGTATTTGGTATTTTGTCTTTAGAGGGCGTAAGTGAAAAATATAATTTTACCCAAACCAAGTGATCGCTGTAAACAAATTTAAAAAAAAAAAGATACATTGTATGAAATGCGAAGAACATTATTGTACAATATTATTAAAGTGTTTAAAAACGGTGTCAAAGTAACTAAAGTGTATGCCAATTTGTATTAAAATCATAAGAAGTACTTTCAGTTTGTTTTTGTCACTGGTCATTTTATAACTTTTATTATATATTTCCCCCCTAATTCTTAGTTTTGCATGTATACACGGGAATGGATAATTAACTTTTAGTGACTCTGAATGCATTTTTTTTTTGCCTAACTCGTGTTACTAAAAGTTTAAAAATATACATACTTTTTTGCATGTCACGGGTTCACGAACGCATGTTGCATTATTACAGTGTTGGTTTATCAATCTGACGCATTCATTAGAAATGTTTTTAATTTATAATATTTTTGAAATTAACCATGTTGTAACTCTGTCATTACAAAGAAGATTAAACTCCTAATTAGAATCTTGACGCTTTCGAAAAGTTCACTGTTGAAAGTGGAGGTAAATGTAGAACATTTGTTTTAAGGATGTACGTAAATATATATATATATATATATACAAGTCCAGCCTTAGGTACAGGCAGGTAATCCAACAACAATAGGTATCAAACACAGGAAGGCATCAAAACAAGTTGTTAATGTCGAAAAATGTAAAAACCTTAAGCTACTTTATCCTAATTGACTAAAAAAAATAGCCTACCTTTAAAGAATAAAATGATGACGGGTTTTAGCAGCAACTGAGGTCTGTTATAGATTCCTCTACGGGATTTCTAAGCTCATAGAAATGGATCAAGATTCACTAGAAGTTTGTTTTTATAACTTGCAGCATATTGTGACAAATAAGGACCTGAGTGATGAGGATGGCTCAAGATCTGACATAATTGGTTGAGATTCTGCATATGTCACTAAAGAAACTGTCATCATTTGAAACTCTGCAGTATAACCACCCAAGACAGGTGTTTCCAAATACCTACATTGCCATTAAAATACTGTATATGATCCCAGTTATTGTTTCTGCACGAGAGAAGCTTTAAAAAGGCTAAAATTTCTACCACGTCTAAGATAAGGCAACATGACTGGCGATGGTGTCAACAGAAAATGAAATTGCAAAGAAGCTTGACTACACAGAATTAAAAAACTATTATTTTTTTCTACTCTTAAAGCCGGAAAAATTTCACTGATATAGCCTGCACCAACAGCCAAATTTGTGCTGTACTCGTAATCTACTCCATAATTCCATGTCGGTACGTTAGTATGAAGTACTATAGTTATTATATTTAAACAGTTCAGAATGTTAAAACAATGCTTTGAAGTTACATTCTTAGAGCACATTTCTTCCTTTCCTTGGAGATTAGGGCTGGAAAGGGGGTGGAATGGTGATTGGGGCATCAAAAACATTTCTCGTAAAAAAAAGGCCGGCCCTATTTATATGCCTAAAGTGGACGAATGTATTGGTATACTCAAGGGAGACGCTGTACGTCATGTAGTCAGTCTAACTTTAAACCACGTGTGTGGTATCACGAACTGCTGACTTGCTGGAGTTTCGTTTGTGATTCTAAAGTCGTTAAAAATGTTTCATTTAAAAGCCCATAGTGTACGTGTTTAGGGTTCTACTGTATAAATGCTGTTCTTAGAAGACTCATCGAAAGCGTTGGGTTCTTTTGTTCAGTTCATACATATTATCTAATAGCCCATTCCGAAGCTTTGCGCTAAAACAAAAACAACCTAAATCATAGTTTCCTACACGCCATTGTTTTAAGATTAACGGGAAAATATTGTAAGATAGCGACTTTTAGCTTTTACTGCTAGCGTAAAACGCAACTTGAGAATTTATGGTTTAACATCAATTGATGTAAATATATGAAATAAAAAGAGAGAGAGAGAGAGGGAGAAGTTTGAAAAACCTATACCCAGGTTTAAGAATAACAGGACTTGCATGGTTCAACCAACACGCCTTTTGGAGAGGTTTTATAAAAACGCTTATTTTTTTTCTAACTGCAAATAATGACGAATTTTAGCTTGGTGATTTTAAGATTTGATCTTGCATGAAATGGACAGTATGGAATATTGCCTGTTTTGTTCAGAGGACGAAATTCCAAAGGAGAAAACGGGAAGCCCTCTACCAGAGAAGCCTTCAGAACTCTCACGGTAAGAGTTAAATTATATATATATATTTCCTGTTTGGGTTAATCCTCAAATGACCGACTTGTTTTTGTACTGTACACTATATATATACAATAGTATAATTTACAATAGCAACTATTATGATTAATTATTACAAACCAAGTTTCATAAACAGAAATTTCACTAACTTACAAATAGCCTAAAATCGTCTTCATAGTTCAGAGTCTCCTTGATATCCAGCGAGTTGTACGTACATATAATTGGCGGGAAGCTAGCTATCTTTGTCAGGCAGTGAATTGTTGGACCGTTGAAGTAAGATAATATTTTCATATAACCATTAATGTCACATGAGAAATCAGTAATATTTTTGGGCAGATATTAACGATGGATGAGAATTCACTGACGTTCGAAATTTATAACTGTTCCTGGTCAAACGTCGTATATTTTCCGGTTGATAAGGGTTAGAAAAATCACAGTTTGTAGATTGCACGGTTATAACAGTTTCATGGTAGATTTTTTTTCTTCTTTCTTCTCTGTTTTTTGGCGCGTCGCTTTTTATAGGCGCTACATTTAACCGGATACGGAAATGAATATATCGTTGATTCTTGTGTTCACGTGTATTCTAGAACCTTAGAGAATTGGCGGGAATTTCGCCATACGTAACTAACACGGTAAGCTGGACACCCCCTCAGATATAAACTTATTCGAAACAAACGTTGACATTAAAATAAATATATCACAAATTCGTTATACGCAACACATATCTGATAATATAAGTCACGCCTATTTCTAAATACAAATTCAACTCAAACAACGTTTATATTAAAAATAAATACATAATAATAAATTCGTTACATCTTGCATTAATTATTTAACTTAACCTTGCGAATCTTCCATTCTCTTACAAAACAGTAGCGTATCCAAAAGCGTATAAAGATAATCGAATTCACTAGTCGGTGGGTCAAGTCTTGGAGGTTATTCACTAGTCAGTGGGTAAAATCTTGGAGGTTATGTGACATTTCCTCTCTTAAATGTGGAACATTAGCGTGACCATGGAGATGATAGTAGTCTCCGTATATCTCGTCCCTACGTAAGCGCTTTTTGCTTGTATTCACCTAACATCAATCGTTGAACTATTTAGTTTGATTCTTTTGGTAATCCCCCCCCCCCCATCCCTCAAATTTCCAAACCCTGTTTACTACATCGTTGTACAAACAAGAAATTAAGAAAGGGAAAGAACGTATATATTATATGCGCTCCTATAACATTTGTGAGCATAAGATATCTCAAAAGGCGAAGAGTTTATGATTTAAAAAGTAAAAAAAAGGTCAACAATGTAAAATATTTTCTAGTCATACTATAATATATTGTAATTGTTAGCAATATATATATATATATATATGTGTGTGTGTATATAATTATTTGCTTTGTAAAATAACAAGGATTCAAAGACTTTTAGTAATAAGTATTAACTCATAATATTTGTATAGATAAGAAAAATTAACCGAAGAATTGTTATTTTTCAAGTAATCTATAAAAAGTTTAATTTTTTTTCACAAATATTACTTTATCGTAGATTTTTATTGTGCTTAATTGTGTGGTTTAATAAATATATTGTGTACTTCCAATCGGAATACCCAGGGTTATCATGCAGGACTGTGGAGGTTCCATGGTTCGCGTCCCGTTACCCCCAAACTAAAACCCCACTCCGCATTTTGTGGTCGTGGGTGCGTTATAAGAGTTACGGTCAAATCCCATTATTTGGTCTGACAAGAGTAGCCCAATAGTTGGCGGTGGGTGGTGTTGACTAACTTCTTTCCCTCTAGCCTATCTATAGCTTGAAAATTTGGGACGGCTAGCGAAGATAGTCCTCGTGCAGCTTTGCGCGAAATACAACCAACAAACAAACTTATCGGAATGACTTGGAGGCTTAAGGATCTGGCCTTTTTTTTTAAGAAATAGGATATAGTTCTCATGTCAATAAAACTTAAATTTGAAGAACATAACATTCAATTAGATAGATGATGCATAAAACACATCTAATTCTAGTTTGATACCACAATTCCTATTTGGGCGTATGAACGCACCATCCCTGTGAGACAAGTCTGCGATATCTTTGTATTAGTTAACACTGATGTTAAGATGATTTAGCAAAGTATTGAAAATCAAATCAACTACCAGTTGTTGTAAATATTTTTTAAACAAAATAGCTGTTTACTAGATTGTAATTGAGAAGCTCAAAATAAAAGTTTATAAGCAACCTACTGTGAATACCTGCACCCGAAACCTTTTTAGCTGCCATTTTTAGTATTGATGAGGTAAATCACATTGCTTGAAAAAATTCAAAAAGAAAGAAAACTTAAAAAACAAACGATTTACCACTATCCTTTTCTAACTAAATAAGATATAAAAATATAATTAATTATCAGAAAACAATAAAGACATTTTAATAATGCAGACGTAAATATAGAATGCACATTTCTATCTTTCAATATAAATATTATTTTTCGTCAAATTTATCAAATTATTTATATTTAAACTGAACTATAGGGATTGTCATCCACAGACGACAGAGCTTGCACAAAGATAGACATTTTTACGTTCATTTGTTGATTTATTTTAAAAATACTTGTGCTGTTAAATGTTTCCCAAATTATTTATTAAAAGGGGACGTGGATGACAAAAGTTGGGAAAATCCTGGTTTAAGCAAGTTCCTGCGATCGTCGAATTTGTCATTAGGTTTTCGTTGAATCTTTTAACTTTTAATTATTTTGCAAATACACTAGCAACTAAATATATTACTGCTACATAAATAACTACAGTAGTAATTATTTATGGGATGTGACATAAAATATTATATTGAAAACAAAACGATAATGTATGTGTATGCAAACTTTAAAAATCGCTTTCGCAAACGACATGAAGGGCTGAGTAGATAATAAAGATGTAGGTTTGAAAACGTAAAGGTTAGTTTTTTCTTTTCCTGACGTTAACTGACATATTTGTCAAAAAAGTCTTAAATGCAAACCTTTACTGTAATCTATAAGCTTATGTTGTAGTTTATAGCAATTTTTTTTAAATATTTTGTAAAAGCTTAATTCTTTTCATGGTTATTAAATTCACTAAAAACCAAGGAAAGGCTGGAACATGCAGAGTACATATTCTAGTTCCTTATTTTTTACTTTTTCTGTGTTTGAGTGATAGTATTAGTTTTGTATACTAGTACATTGTTAATGTAATTGAATATTTTATTATTATTAGGACTAAGAATGGGCAAGAAGTTGAAGCTAGTGAAAGATTTCAAGTAGCTTTTAATGAAGAAGAAGATACACTGTCATTAGTTTTTCAGCGTGTAACGCCAGAGGACTCTGGTGTTTACACGTGTGTAGCCAGTGCCAGTAGTGGGAAAATTTCGTGTAATGCGGAGTTAACGGTTCAAGGTAGTTTTGATACCAATTAAATTTTTTATGGTTCAGCATGTTATCTGCATGATTTACAAAATTCGAATTTCTTTGCTATAAATTTGATGATGACTTTTCTTAGCACTGCCAAGTAAATTCTATTTTTGACGTAGAAATGCATGGCTGTGGATCTGTGGTGCATTGAAAGTATAAACTTAGAAACTATCACTTCACCAGCGTGATAAGTTTCACAGCACGCTGCATTTGTAGTTTTATATAGCTTTAAAGAATTTAAAGATAGATGAATATTATAAATGTAAATACAAAAACAGACTGAAATACAGGAAAATTAACATGAATATGATTTATATTTTAAACAGTTACTATAAATCTTTTTGAATTGCATTAACTTATAAAAATAATAATTAAAAATGACAATTGTACAATGCTGTTAATAGGCCACGCATACTAAGAGTGACAAATGATTTATAAGAAACGACTTCATATTTGGTAGCACAAACTTAGTATTTAGTACAGGTTGACAATTCTAAAGAAGTGTTTGCAGAAGTTATTTTTTAAATTTAAAGTTCAATCTACAAATGTTTAAGCTATTCACGTAAAGAGTCTTAGTTTTAAGTATGAGATTTTGTTTAATGAAAGTGAACTATTTTTCCAGGGTTTTATTTATTAATCATTATTTTTACCATCACCCGTTACTAGAGGTCGTAAGAAACCTTCATTATATTAACCTTACCTAGTCCCTTATTGATTTTATAAATATGAAACATGCAATACCCCTATTTACTCTTCTTTTTTTTAAAAAAAAACAAAAAGAGGGGATTTTAAATGCAGTAAAATTTGGTTTTGGTCGTTAGGAAGAATCTTAAAAGACATTCTTAAGAAGTGAACGTACTACAGCCAGAGATTGTTAGAGCCTATTTATAAGAAGTTTAACATGTTTACTTATGGTACTATCGGAAGATAGAATTAAAAGAGAATGTGAGGCATAGTAAGTAAAGAGGATTAAGAGGCATACATTATGTAGCAGGATATTTGTTTGAAAATGAAACATAATGAGTATGTTACCACAAGTAAATTACAGGTACATCACAAGTACACATGTATGATGATTAATGAAAAGCAACTTGATAAGTTTTTCTGTGAATTAACCAGGCAGTTAATTAACAGTAAAATTTGAAGACTAAAATATTAAATCTAGCTGCAACTTAAGTTACTACAACATTTTTAAAAAGCCCACATTTTAGTTGCATATTTATTATTATATGGTACCAACAGTCAGGTAAACAAAAACCAGATATTCAAAAACACATAGAGCCTGTAAGATATGGTAATGAAATATATAGAACTTTAGTAAACTGTCAGATTGAATTTTTTATTAATGATCAAACTAAACAAAGAACTTAATAAAGAAAATTTAAATTATAAAGCACCTGTGTAAAAATTGTAGTATTTAAAGCATAATTGGAAATGTATCATAGTTACTAAACTGTTTTAGAATATGCTATTCTTTAATGTGTTTAAGTGTTTTTATAACTGGACAATATCCTTGAAATAAGATAACTAGCAAAACACAAACTCGACTTAGAAAAAACATGTTAAGGGAGGGAACTATCATGGTTGTGTGCGACTTTTTAATCACTGTCTATATTTATCCCAAAGGAAAGGAGGTATCTACATTTAATTAAAAAAAAGGAAGTTTAGTGAAAACGCTATTTTTTTGAGACATTTAAACATCTTGATTGAAACAGATTTTGCTTTTTAGAAAAATGTTTAATATAAGGTTAACATAAAATCAAAGTTCTTTAACTTCATAATCAAACTAATGTTTGTGTTTAATGCGAACTCTGATGAAATAAAACACGTCAGCACCTGTCATTGAATAATTCAAGTTTTTACTATGAAAAATAAACTTTTTTAGAATGAATCTTGTTTAATAGAATAACACAATTAATGTTTTTAAAATGTGCTGCTAATATTTAATTCTTATGTGAGTGTTCGAAGATGATAGAATCTCATAGTTTTGTTTCAGTGACTTTTAAAAATGAACATGTTTTATTGATTTTAATGGATTATGAAACATTAGAACCACTTGTCTCTCAGAATTCACAGTACTTTGCCTTTATTATGATCAATATAGTGCTTGTTTTCTATTGGAGCTTTTAGAGAAATCCTGATCATCTACATAGTCACAAATGTTTATATTTGTCTATCAATTGAGTGTTGGTTTGTTATTTTTTTAGTTCCAGAATTTGAAGTGAATGAATACTGACAGAAGCACAAGATAAAAATGGCTAAGTAGTCATAAGCACAGATTAAATTTTTAAAGTTTTGTGATGATTTGTCGAAAATCGGTATTATAATTAGGGGCGGATCTTCAAGGAAGTTATTACAATGGATATGTATGTACTTGTCTAAAGGAAGAGGAAATAATTCATTAAAGGTAAGTTTATGAATAATGAAAGTTTATAAATAATAGCTTTGACAAGATTTGGAATTTATTTGATAGGCTATATTCCAATTGAACCTGAAGCCCCATCAATTAAGGCCAGTCTTACAGATGTTGATGTGAGTGAAGGGGGATCAACAGTACTAGAATTAAAAGCAACAGGTCAACCGAAGCCCAAGATTAAATGGTAAGCTCAAATTCTGTGTTTTAGGTAGAGCGGGTAGTTAAAATAACTCTTGTTGTGGAGACAGAATTAGGTTTTGCTTTTCATAGCTGTAAAGTGTAAAATGTTACAACAGCGGAAGTCACGTGACGCTGGAAGCATGTGTGCTGGAGTTTCTAGAAGGATCATGACTGTTCCTGCCAACTCTAGTCTTTTCAAGGCACCCTCTATTTTAGTATATAAGCCCGGCAAATAAAGCGGAGATATACTTGCAGATAGATGGAGATAGAGACAGATAATTGAGTCAAGTGAGCGGTAGTGACCGTAAGTAAAGTGCATGAATCATTGTAAATTATAGCGTGTGTTTAAGTTAAAGTGACTGTGGAAATTCTGTGTATTATAAAGTGGTATCGAGAAATAATAAACTAGTTTTAATTAAGAT